TTTTTTTTTTTTTTTTTTTTTGGAGCTTGGAATATGTTATTTGTTTTTCCAGTATTCCATCGATCGATGCCTTGGTTTATACTGAGATTCGTTCTGAGTGAATGTTTGAAATATGGTGATCTTTTGATTTTCACTTTCTTCTTGAAAATATGCTTAAATTTCTGGAGCTCAATATTTATACGTATTTGAGATATGATATGATTCTTTGCACTTCTAGAGCTGTAGATGAGTCCAGCTCGATTTCGAAACTTTATCGAGTCGAATCGAATCGAACTGAGCTAATAAATTTATCACGAAATTACGAAAAAAATACTTTTACCTCTATTTATTTATCATGTCTATAAGGAGCCTTTAAACGAGTTTAGGCTAGACTCATCTGATTAGCATAGTTTGAGGCTTAATAAGCGTACATTGTTTTTGAGCCTTAATGGCTTAATCTATTCAATTTTGATACCACTTACTGAAAATCTTGTGTATTTGATTTACCCCTTTTTTGGCAACCCGAAATCAGCGCACATTTTATGTCTATTGCCATGTCAATTTCACGTCTTATTTTTTTTTCGTCTCATTTTCTTCTCTTTTTTTTTTTATTTTTTTTTTTATAAAGAGTGATTATTAGGAAACAAATCTCAGTCTTACATTTACTTTTTCACTTAAGCGCGTATTGAAAAAAATAGTTTATTTATTTATTAGAATTGGGATTTGGGATCCTTTTTAAAGTTGGTAGAGTAGATAGGTGTGCACTCTTTTTCATGATTTTGCTGATTTCAATAATGTCTATTATCTTGGGCCTTTAATCTTTATATTTTTCTTTTTTTTTTCTTTCCTTCAACATTTACTAGTTAATTTTTCTTGATTGAATATTATTATTACCTTTGAAACTAAAATTAAACACAATTAAAATAAAATTGTAAAAGTTGTGCTCAAAATTTTTTGCTATATCAATTATCTTAATTATCATATGTTTTAATCCTGATGATTTAATATACCTCATATTTAATTATGTTGAACCTATATATGTTTGGTTGGCATGTGGTGATGGGCCACAGTCCACTCCACCGCTTACGATTTAATTTAAATATATATATATATATATTGAAGATAATTTAAAAAAAAACAAAATGTTAGTGAAAAGTTTTGGTGTGTGCCTCTCCTTTATTGATCGTGAAAAAGACAAGATAATGAGTCACATAATTTAGGTTATATGTAAATAAATGTTTATTTATTTTAGAAACAGAATATTTTTATGGGTTTAATTGAAATAAATGTTGACATTTCTGCATTTCAAAGGAATCTTCTCTGCATCTTCTCCCTTAAATGCTCTGTTTACAAAATACTTACAGTTCACATTACCAGTTAATGAACCACACAACAGAAATATGTATACATTATTATGAGTTGTTTTTATCTAACTTTCTGCTTTAAATTATTATTGAGATCAGATAATCTCAAGACCACACATATAAAAGAGTAAAGTGCAATCATCCATTTCCAGCCATGGCAGATGAGACTCTTACAAATGAGGAAATACAAGTGACAAAGCTATCTGAGGAAGCTCAGGGCAATGGGGTTCCGATTAAGGTAACTTGAATTTCATCACAGAATTGAATTGATCACTCATTTAGCCTAATTATATATATAAATAAATTTAATCACATTCAAAGATCACAAAATGTGGCATAGATTTTGCCTAATCATAGTCATTCTTTTTTTTCTTAGCAGATATTAGAAGAAGATACTGCTGAAGAAACAAAGAAAGATGAGGAAACAACCCTTGATGGGGAGTTCATAAAGGTGGATAAAGAGTCCCTCGACGTGAAAGACCATTCTAACGCCGAGGAAAAACCGTCTGCGGTCGAGCACGCAAATACGGACCCCGAACCCACGCGGGAGCTGCTGGAATCACAGGAAAAAATCAAGGAGCTCGAAAGTGAACTGCAACGACTTTCTCACTCGGCAAAGGAGGCTGAGTCCGAGAACACCCACCTGAAGGACGAACTCCAGCAGACCAAAGAGAAGCTCCTAGAATCCGAAAAGAAGCACGAGGAGCTCGAGGTCAGCCACAATGACCTGCTCGAAAAATTCACGGATGCTGAAAACAGGTACAGTGATCAGCTCAAGACTCTTCAGCAGTCGTTACAAGCTCATGAAGTGAAGCACAAGGAGTTGGCTGATGTGAAAGAGTCCTTTGACCGTTTGACCCTCGAGCTCGAGACCTCTAGCAAGAAGATTCAAGCGCTGGAGCTTGAATTGCAAAATTCATCTGAAGAAGCCCAGAAATACGAGGAGCTGCACAAGCAAAGCGGTTTAAATGCTGAGGCTGAAACAAAAAAGGTTTTGGAATTCGAAAATTTGCTTCAGGCGGCAAAATCTAGCACCAAAGATATGGAAGAACAAATGGTTTTGCTAAAGGATGAGCTCAAAAGCTTGTACGACAAAATAGCCCAGAATGAGAAGGTCGAGGAGGCGTTGAAAAACGCTTCTGCAGAGCTTGCTAGTGCTCGTGCCGAGTTGGAAGGGTCGAAATATCATGCAGAGGAAGTCGAGCAGAGGCTGGCTTCGAAAGAGACGCTTATAAGCGAGTTGACCCAAGAATTGGAAGTCATGAAAGTTGCCGAGTCAAAGTCCAGAGACGATGTTGCATCACTCGAGAATCTGGTAGAGGACATAAAGGCCAAGCTTAAGGAGGGACTCGATGCAAAGGAAAGAGTTGAAGAGTTACTGAAAAACGAAGAAAATAAAACTAAAATCGCACAGGAAGATTTGGAAAAAGTTGTTACAGAAAAATTGGACCTGGAAAATGCCGTGTCTGATTTAACGAACAAAACCATCCAAATGAAAGAGCTTTGCGACGAGCTGGAAGCCAAGCTAGGCCAGTCCGAAATTTTATCAGAAAAGGTTTCCCAACTCACTGAAGATCTCAGGAAGGAGGTTGATGAGAAGCTAAATCTAGAAGCCAACTTGCAAGAGTCCCTGTCCAAGTTATCTGAGAGGGATTCTGAGGTGGTTGAATTGAAGGCCCGATGTGCCGAGCTTGTGGTAGACCTGAAGAATGCGAGTGACAATTGGGCCGAGCATGAGGGACGGGCCAACACGATTCATCAACGTAGCCTGGAGCTTGAGGGCTTAATTCAGGCATCTGATTCCAAAGCCGTTGATGCGGAGAAAAAGGTTGGGGAGCTGGAATTACTTCTCGAGACCGAAAAAAACAGGACTAAAGAGCTCGAGGAACAAATAATATTGCTAGAGAAAAATCGAGAGAATTTGGAGGCGGATTTTGCGAAAACCAGTCACAAGGCTTCTGAACTTGAGGCTGAGCTCGAGGCAGTCAAATCAAAAGCGTCGAGTTTGGAGGATGCTTTGCAAGCTTCGTCGGAAAAGGAAAAGGAACTTGAAGGAATCTTGAATGCAGCTACTGAGGAGAATAATAGTCTAAAGGCAATATCAAGGACCTCGGATGAGAGGCTATCTGCATTGCAAAATGAATACAATGTTGCACTGGAGAGGTTGGGGAACACTGAGAATGAGCTTGAGGTTAGTAGGCAAAACGAAAACCTACTTAAGGATAGTCTGGATAAAGCCGAGAAGTCCTCTGAACAGTTGAGCATAGAGATTGCTGAACTAAAATTGGCAAAAGAATCACTTGAGTCAGTGCACGAATCACGAACATTGGAAGTGAATGAGAACGCCTTGAAAGTGGAGTCCTTGGAAAGGCAAGTCAAAAGTTATGAAGCCCAACTTGCAGAAGCTAATGAAAGATATGAAGATGTGATTAAAGAGCTCAATGAGATTCTGGAGAAGCTAGCCTCGTCTGAGGGAAATAACGAGGAACTAAAGAGACAAATATCGGAGGTGGAAGGTAAAGCCGACGTGTTATCCACAGAAAATGCAAACTTATCTGAAAAAGTTAAGGATCTCGACGAAAAGCTGAAAGCTGCAACTTCTGAGATGGAAGTCTCGGCAGGGCAGCTTGCTTCTCACATGAACACCATCAGTGAACTAACTCAGGAGCACTCGAGAGTCTCGGAGCTTCATTCGGTGGCTGAAGCCCGAATTTCAGAAGCCGAAGCTCAGTTGGAGGAAGCTATTCAGAAATCTAGCCTGAAAGATTTGGAAGCTAAGGACTTGTATGAAAAGTTGAAGGCATTTGAAGCACAGGTGAGTGTGTATGAAGAACAGGCTAGGGAAGCATCCGCTGTTGCAAAAAGCCGTGAATTAGAGATTGAGCAAGTTTTGTTGAAATCGAAAGAATTGGAGAGTGAGTTAGAGAGCAAGTGTGGCCAGTTGAAGAAGGAGAATGAAGTTCTTGTTGAAGCAAACTCGAAACTCACCGAGGAATTGGGTACGTTTAAGTCTGAGATAAGCCGCTTACAAGCAAATTTGTCCGCTGCTTCGTCTGAGAAAGAACATGCAGTTGAGGAATTGAATGTTGCAAGAAAAGAAATAGAAGAGCTAACGCAGAAGCTTGCTTCTGAAGGCCAAAAACTACAGTCTCAAGTAAGTGCTTTTATTTTGGAGGGTTAATTTCAAGTACCCCTTGAAGTTTTACTGATTAAAATGAAATGATAAACCAATTACCTTTTAAGAGAAACAAGTACTTTCCCAACTTTTTTTTTTTTTTTTAATCTTACAAAATTGCAATCTTTAAGAGATATTTGCTATTTTTATTTTTAAAACATGGGCGAGTCTTTTTGTAACTAGACTTTTAAATCAATGGCAGTTTCTGCAAATAAACAGTTTAAAAACAAAAAATTATTTAGTGACTCCAGCATTTATTTTATCATGTTGGAATCTTTCAGATATCATCTGTAATGGAAGAAAACAATTTGCTCAATGAGACATTCCAAAGTTCCAAGAATGATCTCCAAGCTATGATAATGAATCTTGAAGAGCAGTTGAAACAACAAAAGTCACATGAAGATGCTCTGAAATCTAAGCTGGAAATCTTGAATTCTGATGTTGCTCAGAAAGCTGAGTTGGAGAATCATCTGAAGGAGATCAAAGAACAGTTGGCAACCGCAGAAGCTCGTTTGAAAGAAGAGGTATATAACGTGTTCTCTTTTTTATGTATTTGGATATCATAAACAACTTGCCTGTAGAAAAAAAAAAAAAAGATAAAAAGAAAAAGAATAGGAACAAATCATTGATTTTCTTTATCTTTCCATTGCTTGAAAACAGAAGGAACTGAGCTCCCAAAAGGACCTGGAACGAGAAGCAGCTTTAAAGCATTTAGCTGAAGAGTTCGATACAAAGCTAAACACTAAGGAAAAAGAAATGGATCTTTTAGAAAACAAACTGAAAGATTTTGAGCAAAAGTTGAAAGATGTTGAGCAGAAGTGGCAGCTTGCTGATGCTAAATTCAAAGAAAAGGTCAGCTTGGACTATTTTTTGACACAATAACAATATTTACGAGAGAAAATGCTTTTCGCTCAATACAAACAACAAAACCTTCTGCCTTTAAACATTTAGTGTTCTATATTGCACGGCTAATATGAAGCAATCTTGAATTGTAGAATAGATAGAGCTCTGGCAAAGATGCAGATAGATAGAGCTCTGGCAAAGATGCCTTACAGAAAGTATATAATATGAAGAAATCTTGAGTTGTAGAACAATTTTGGCTCCAACTGCATTTGATGTTTAGATTAATCCTGATCTTGGTAGAAAATAAAAAATGTGTTACGGGGAGGGTGATTTTAGATTTCTGATCCTATTTTCTACTGATTTTTATGCAAATGAAACACTCGGAAAAGTTAATTCATCAAAAATACTCAACTCACTCGTCTTTCAGCTTCTACTGGCAACCGCACGAGTTTTCGCACACTCTTATATCTAAATCTTAAAGTACCTTGATTATGTCATGCAGGATATTAGAGGAGCTCCCTCAGAACAAAAGGATGAAAATATAAAATCTCGGGAGATCGATTTATCTTCTTCAGCTCCTATCAAAAGAAAGAGCAAGAAAAAGACAGAGACAACTTCAGGTCAAGCACTATCCTCAGCTACACAGGTTCACACTGCTGAGGAATCTTCATCTATGAACTTCAAGTTCATTCTAGGCGTGGCACTTGTTTCCATTGTCATTGGTGTTATTCTTGGAAAAAGGTACTGAGATGTGGTGTTTGGGATTTTGATTTGGATTTGTGCTTTCATGTTGGTGAATTTTCAGTTTATTTTTGTTTTTTATGGGAAAATTAGTTTGTGATTTCATATAGGAAGCAAGCACACAGGAAACTTTATTAATCGTACTGTGTTTTGGGTAATTTTTGGGTTTTTGATCCTTGGATGGCTGTCAGGAATTTGGTTTTTCATTTGATGCCTGACCTTTTTGTTTATATAGTTTTGGAAAGTATTAAAATAAAGACAGGATATTGTTTTTGCTGTAATTCAGGTTTGTGTTTGAAGTATTAGTGTTGGATTACTATTATTATAAACTTAAAAATATGCATCCATTGCCATTGCATCATTTAGATGGGAAGATTCGACCCTATTACACACATTGGAGTCCTAGCCGTAAGATCATCCATATACCCATTCGAGTATATGTTGATCTGACGGTTCAGATTCCAGTGTGGCCCGATATGCATTCACCATTTAGGTGAGACTAATTTACTATGGTTCTGAAAATAGCGCGTCTTTCGGGCCTTTATGGTCGAGTAAAAAAGGATCGTTGGACATGAAAATGAAAGGTGTTGAATTTAGCAAATAATGGGTGTGGATATGAACTGTGAACTGCATGTACTAGCTTTATTAGTCAACATACAACTCAAATATACTTGCACAACTTAATGTTTTTTGTTCGATTGAGTTTAGCTCACGAACCCACATAAATGATAAAACACAGTAAAAATTTAAAAATAGCTCATTATACTAACTCCAAATCAGCGATCTGCTTACTCCAAATCCTGTTCGTAATTGTCTATAAATTGTTTCTCTTTCTCATATGAGCCGGGAGAAGGGAGAATGTGAGTTTAATTATGAATTATGGCTACAAGTCTCCTATTACATACTAATTACTACACCTAAGAATCAACTAAAAGTATCAAAAATTCAAACCAACCTAGCACATATTCCATGAACAAACAAGTTCTAAAATCCACCTTTTTTATTTCTCCTTCAAAGAATAATATATCATTTATAACAAAACACGGTAATGTATTGGAAAAAAAAAAAAAAAAAAAAAATCCTTCCAAACCCGTCTGCCCCGACCTGGAACCGTTTTCCATCAAATCCCGACGCTCGCTTCAATCCAATTCCGAAGGCTCCCAAGCCGATGCCGTGAGCAACGACAAGTCCTTCCACCCCAACTTAAGGCTTCCATTATCCTCCATCAACGTGTACCCGCGCCATGGAAACATCCCGAGCAGCAGGCCCGCTTGGGCTGCCGGGCTTCCAGCCAGCGACACGGGCCTGAATCCGGCCCGGCCCAACTCATCCCCCCACCTCTCCACCCTCTCCTCTCCATTCCTCTTGGGCCCACCGACTGCCACAATATTCCTGATTTCGCCTCCTAGCACTTGCTGCTCGACTGTGTGCCGCTCAATGCTGTTGGGACCGAGCCCAAGCCCAAGCCCATCATCCAACGCGTCAAAAAGCGCAGAGTAGTAATGCAGAGCCTCCACGAAACGGCCGAGGAACCCGCCTGAGTGGCTGAGGTCCTGCTCGACGATGGTGATGAGCTTGGGCTTGATTAGAGTTAGCAGGCGGAGGGTTTGAAGGTCGTTGCCGGTGACGTCGTACAGGCAGTGGTGCATCCAATGGACGATGATGGTTTCCCCCGATTTGATTCCGAGCTGGCTAGGGTTTGTGAGGCTGCCGAGTTTGCCCTGGACGGGGTGGAATTCGAAGGGGATGCCGAGGGAGGAGGCGAATTCGGAGAGGCGGCGGCCGGTGGAGGCGAGGAGGTCGGAGGAGGGGCCGAGGGCGGTGAGGCGGAGGGAGCTGATTTTGCGGGGTTTGGAGGCGAGGATGTGGAAGAGGCCTGGCCACTGGAGGCCCTGCATCACGTCGAGGTCGATGACGTGGACGCGGTCGGAGGAGGAGGGAGAGGAGAGGGCCTGGTGGATGGCCTGGTTGGAGGTGAAGTGAGCGAACTTGACGAGGGGGGCGGCGGAGTTGTAGGCCTGGACGGCGGCGAGGAGGCGCTGGAGGCGGGGTTTCGGGGGAGGGGAGATGGGGGCGCACGCGCCGAGGCGGGAGGAGACGAGGCGGGCGGAGAGGGCGTCGGCGAAGTACGCGCCGACGCGCTGGGCGGGGGAGCCGAAGGGGGAGGAGAGCTCGGCGGCCTCCGGGAGGAGCAGGGCGGCGTCGTCGGGGCAGTCGGCGGCAACGCACTCGGCGCAGCGGAGGAGGAGGCCTAGGAGGCGGAGGCCGGCGGCGTCGGAGTCGGAGTCCTCTTCCGGTGGCGGTGCGTCGGAGTCGGGGCCGGGGGAGAGGCCGGAGCGGCGGCGCTTTGTGGGCTCGGAGGGGGGGAGGTCGGCGGGGCGTTTGCCGGCAGAGGACATGGCGGCGGAGGAATTATTGTTGGCGGTGGGGAGGGCGTGGAGCATGATGATTGATTGGGGGAAGGAATCAAAAGGGAGTGAGCTTTTTGTGAGAAAATGTGCAAATAAGAAGTTGACAAAAAGTGTTGCAGAGATTATTTGTGGGGGTGAATGTTTTATTATCTCTTTCTATTTTTACTTTTTCTATTTCTTTTATATATATATATATATACACACACATAAATAATAGAGTACGTGGATCGTAAACAAATCAAACATTTTTTATTCAATTCGTAATTCGAATTCGATATTCGTGATTCGAATGATGTTTTGATTCGGAATTATAACGAATTCGAATCCGAATGTGTAGATATTCGATTCGAAATTCGAATATTCGATTCGTTAACAATAATTATATAAATTTTACAAATTATATATAATATATATTTTGTTTATAATATATGTATATATATATATTGTTATATTCCTAATATTTTTATGACATAAAAAGTAAAAACATCATAAATTAACAATTTTTTCTAAAAATATATGAAAAATAAAATTTATTTTTGTAATTATAATATTTTTTTAATTATAATATTTTTTTAAAAACGAATTTCGAATCGAATCGAATACGTTCGAATATTCTAAACGAATCGAATACGAATCAAAAAATGAATTCGTTATCGAATCGAATCACGAATCGAATCTTCGAATATTTTAAACGAATTGAATCGAATCTCTGAGTATTCGCTTTGATTCGATTCGTTTACAACCCTTGTCTCTTATGTTTTTATATACAAAAAGGAAATAAGAGATGAAATCTCAAAATCTGTAATTTTTTATTCAACGATGACTGCGTTCATAGGAGAAAGGAAGATAAGAGCATCTCCAATACATAAATGTTGTTATTACATAAAATTGACGAATGTCAATTAATTAAATGAATTGTGAACCACGTAAGATAATTATTAGGTTCAAAACTTTAATTTTAAAAAATTGTCTCCAATGGACAATATAATCAAACACAATGTTGTCCACTTGGCAAAAAATAAAAAATTTATAAATATGAAAAAAAAAAATTAAATAACTAGATATTTTGAGAATGGTAATATTTATCTCTCCCCTCTCCATTTGTTGATTAGAATGTGAATGACAATGTGGATGAACCACATTCTTCTCTACATTGTAAACATTAATTATGCCCACCTCATCAGTACATTTGTAACATTGTACATTGGAAGATTAAAAGTGAATAAATTGCTAAATATGTTAATGTATAATGTTATTTACTACAACTACATTTGACATTAGAGATGCTCTAATAAATAGTCCCAACATACTAGGTTTCCTAACATGCTAAACAAGGAATAATAATAAAAAGCTAAGAAATAAATAAAATAAGAAATAATAATAAAAAGCTAGAAAATAAATAATTAGACTAATAAAGGAATCCGATCATATTTATGCATAAGTCTCGTCTCCATCATTTTCATTTTGAGTTTATCATGAAATTTGATGATAAGAATAAAAATAATAATGAGAGATGGGTTTGGATGCACTTGGGAGAAGGGGGGGACTATGAAAGAGAAGTTTGTTTGTAGTGTTGTGAGCATGTGGAAGCCAAGGAAAAAGTTTTTGAGTTCCATTACCAAAATTATTTTATTTTGTTTGTGCAAGTATGTGGTGATTGATTGGTAGTACATGTGTGAGATCTTAGAATGTTTTTGTTTTTGCTTTACACATTTTGTTTGTCATGTTAAGGATGTGAGGTTTTAGTTCCTAGGAATTAGTTGATTGAATGATTTGTAAAAGAACTAATTGTCAAGCAGTATTACACTCAAATGACATACTTCGAATTAAAACATAAGTAGATTTACACTCAAATGACATACTTTCTATTTAAATATAACAGAAGTACGACATTTTATAGTATAAATATGTATTTTTTGTGATAAATGCATGGTTGTCAAAAGATTAGACAGCTTAATAGTTGCCTTTTCGTGTAAGGTATAAGTATGTAGTATGGATTAGGCAACTTAATAGCTGCCTTTGCGTGTAAGGTATAAGTATGATTTTGAGCTTTGAGTGAACTTATGTATTTTATCTAAGGAGAACAAAAATGTAGGCAAGATTGGTCCTTTAAGTCGATGAATCAAGCTCAAACAAGTTATGAGATCCAGGGGCGGAGCCACCCCAAAGGCTGGGGTGGGTTCCAGCCCAGGCTACATGAATTGTTTTGAAAAGGGAATAGCCCATATCCATAAAATAGCCCAGGTTGAATTTAAACCATGTGATGTGATCATTGCCCAAATGTTAGTTTTATTACATGTATACATGTATCTTCGTATCCCATTATCTTTTCATTTTATGTATCTTCGTATCCCATTATTGTTCCATTTTTTATTTCATTATCCACAAAAATCATATTTTATCTTATGGTCACAAATAAAAGGATAATTATATACAATCTGGTTTTGTTTAGATATTTTTTTTTCCTATTTTTGTTTCTGTATAAAAAATCTTCAGTCTATTATATTATATATAGAAAAATGCATTATTATGATTTTAACAAGATATTTGATTTTAAAATTTTTGAGACACTATAAAAAAAAATGATGAAATTTTA